GGCAACTTCGTACGCTACAACGCGATGCAATCCCGCTTTTAAATTTTGTGTTCTAGCAGATGGTCCTTTTATCTCTTAGCAAATATTAATTTCTTGTTGTTTGGTTTCGTTCACGTCTGAATAGTGACCCGTTGAAATAAAGTACGTTGAACGACTGTCACGCAAGAGGTCAAAGCCAATCTTTCAACTTGGCCAGGAATGTACCAAATACATAACCTCTTGCGTGACATCAATGTGACCTTTTGCGTTTCGCCAATTTCTATTCTGTTTCGCCAATTTCTATTCTGAAAAAAATTTGATAAACAACAATAGCATACAGGTTTTTTAGAACAGAATTTGAAACAGGATATTGGCGGAGATGACCCCTCATATGTTTCATTATAAGGCCTACCAAACTTGAGAATATGAGCCGAATCGATTTTTTGGCTGTTGCCACCAAATGTTTGACCCTTCTTAATTGTTGCGAAATAACCTCGCCGAAATGGCGGGCAAAGTCCGTGAAAAAGCACTCCGAGAATTGAACTGTTTTGACTTCCTAGTGGATTTTGAGGTTGACTCAGTTGGAAGGGAGAATGTCTTCAGAAAGGTAAGCAGGATTATTTTGTTCAAAACTAAAACAATGTGGATTTTCACGATGCTTTGGACAAAAATTCTAGTTTTTAGTCGCAGATCGATCGCGCCATTTTCTTGTCTCACCAATTCATCGCTTTTCGAGGAACGGGAAAATTTGTCAAATTCAAAACATCCATACATTAACACAGAACCAATGAAGACTCTATAGACGTGTCTGTTCGCGGATTGTCGTGATAAAACGATACTCGATAAGGAAACACTTCTAACGAAGGAGCAGTGCAGTAATTCAAATTTTATGAACCGAACTTTAATACTATTTGTTTATCTTAGAAAACTTTGAAAGAAACATTATTTTGGTCATTTACAGAAACGTTTCTATAGCTTTATTTTAAGCATGCTGTGGTTCTGTCCTTTCATTCGCCCATAACTCTTTAATTGAATATGTCGATTTAGTAGACCAACTTGTGGTCAGCTAGAACATTTGACACGACTGACTGACTGTCTAGGTACGATATCCCTTCAAATATTTGCTTTTTCTATTACTGATCGCTGTTGTCAGAAAGAAGATCGGCTAAAAATAGCAAACTATACAAAAAGCTTAATCCACTTAGAACAAGTGAAATGGAAATATTTACTTACCTTTACCATATTTAAATGGGAAGCAAATGATAGCCACAATAGCGAAGAGTGTATTTGCTTTTGCCATATTGGGATAATTCGTGACGAAGCGCT